TTAAAGCCCATGGTATACGAAATAATGTACTGGCATGGATTAAGAATTGGCTGACAGATAGGAATAAATGGGTCATTCTCGCATTGGCAGACTGTGACAAGCACCAAAGGGGGGGCCGATTGTTAACAACATAAATCAAATATTTGGACATAGCAACATTTGCAAATGAAATAAGGCTAAGCAGGAATGTGTGTCATGAGGAATATGTGAAACGTTTTCAGGAGGATTCAGACAGACTTAGTTTGATTGGACAAGAACATGATTAAATAGATACAATCCAACAAATAAGAAAAATTCCAAGGTATGGACCTATCATCCATGGTTAACTAGAAATGTGAGAGCTAGTAACAAACTGAAGAAAAATCATATAAATTACGCAAAGATAATTGGCATATCACACGACTGGACAGAATATAAGAAGCAGTAAAGAATGAACAAAAAGGTTAATAAACAGGGATAATTAGAAAGAAAGGATTAGCCAGGAATATAAAAGGAGATGATAAAAGTTTCTATACATATTTAGTGGGAGTTAACAAAGTCAGCATTGGTCCTAAATAAAAAGTGAGATTGGTAAGTAAGGAAATGGCAGGTGAATTGAACAGGTATTTTTCATCATTCTTCGTTATAGAGGATACAGGTGACAGCAATACATCAGAAAGTGGAAAGGAGGAAAGAGAACTTCCTCATGGTCTGTTCCTGGGTCCAGCCAAGTTAGTAACAGGTCCAGATATTGGGTTGTGGAGGGATCATAGCTGCTGACTGTCTGCCCCTCTTCTGTGGCTACGTTGATACCTGGGTGTCCTTGGAGAGGGAGCAACAAGGTGTCCACCAATACTCTCGATGCCTTTAAAGAGAGATGGGCATCACAGCGGGTGGAGTGTTTTATATCCACTTCCAATTCCATTTTGATTTCGCCCTTTCCCTGACCTTTGATGGTTTGCATTGCCCTTAACAGGCTTTGCACATAAATTACTCAATTGGAAACTCGGGGTGATTTACAAGTGGTGGTTAATAGATGACTTGGTAATGGGAAAAAAAAGTTCAGTTGTGTTTAAGAGCATCTATAGATATAAAAAGGGAAGGAATAACTCAGGAAAATAACAATCACCAGAGAAGTCGCAATAAGTAAATTGTTGGAACTTCAAGCTGACAAATTCCTAGAGACATCATGAGGTCCTAGGGTCTTAAAAGAAGTGGCAAGTGAAATAATGCATTGGTTTTAATTTTCAAAAACTTACTTAATTCAGCATTGGTCCTATTACATTAGGAGAGTGTGAATGTAACTCCATTATTTAAAAAGGGAGGGATATAGTAAGCATTGTAATAGGAAAAATGTTAGAAACTATTTTTAAAGAAGTTATAGTAAGGCACTTATATAAGTTCAAGGTAATCAGGCACAGTTAACATATTTTGGTGAAATTGAAATTGCGTTTGACCTATCTACTGGAGTTCTTTGAAGAGGTAACACATATTATAGATAAAGGAAAACCAGCAGATCTGCTGCATTTAGACTTTAGGAAGACATTTTAGGAAGATGTCACATCTAAGGTTAATGCAGAAAATTAAAACTCATGGTGCAGGAGGTAGCATTTTGGCATGGATAGAAGATTGGCTACCTAACAGGAAGCAGAGAACAGATATAAATGGTTTCTTTTTCGGGTTGGCAAGATGGGTGATCACAAAAAATAAAAAGGGGAAGGAAACACTTCAGATTAATCACTTGTCTCCCTAACAGTAGCTATATGTTGCGACAGAGAATGAATCAGGAGATAATGAGGGTATGTAACAAAGGCAGTACAGTAATCATCTTTTCTTTAATTCAATTGTGGGACGTGAGCATCACTAGCTGAGTCAGCATTTATTGCCTGACCCTAGTTGCCCGTGAGGTGTGATGGTGAGCCACTTTCTTGAACCATTGCAGTCCATGTTTGTAGGTAGACCCATAATGCTTTTGTAAGGGAATTCCAGGATTTTGACCCAGAGACAGCAAAGGAATGACAATACATTGGAGGGTAATGTATAATAATAATGGAGTGGAACTTGCAGTTGGTGGTGTTCCCATGTAGTGCTTCCCTTGTCCTTCTGGAAGGAAGGAAATAATCATCCAAGTGAAAGGTGCCGTCTAAGGATCTTTGGTCAATTTGTGCACTGCATCTCGTGCATACTACATACTGCTGTTATTGAGCGTCCGTGGTGGAGTGAATGAATCTTTGTGGATACCGGGTGCCAATCAAGCGGGATAATTTGTCCTGGATGGTATCAAACGTCTTGAGTGTTATTGAAGCTGCACACAACCAGGCAAGTGAGGATCATTCCATGACAATGCTGACTTGTGCCTTGAAGATGATAGACAAGCTTTGGGGAGTTACGAGGTGAGTTACTTGACAGTAATGCCACTGAACATAAAGGGGTAGTGATTAGATTGTCTCTTACTGGACATGGTAATTGCCTAGCATTTGTGTGGCATGATGTTGCTTAGTACTTTTTAGCCCAAGCCTGGATACAGTGTACAACTTGTTGCATTTGGACATGGACTGCTTTGAAAGTGCTTAAATCTTCATGTAGATTAAGATAGTCAGGTTGGCCAAGATGACCGTGATGAAGAATTCATAGTGTATTCAGGACAGTTTCATAGAACATTACATTGTGCATCAATCCAGGGATCCAGGAATCAGGCCATTTTAGATGTGGTGATGTGAAATAAGACAGGTTTAATAAATCATGTCAGTGTAAAAGATCCCACAAGGAAACAGTGACCATAACATGATAACATTTAGCATTCAATTTGAGAGGGAGGAACCTGGGTCATAAACAACTCTGCTAAGCTTAAATAAGTGCAATTGTAAAGGAATGAGGTGAAAACTAGCTAGAGTGGACTGGGCAAGGAGGTCAGTAGCAAAGAAGGTTGAGAAACAATTTACAACAATAATTCATGGCTAACAGCAAGGATATATCCCACTCAGGAAGAGGGATTCTAGGAAAGGGAAAAGCTAACCATGCATAACCAGGGAAGTTATGGATAGCTTCAATTTGAAAGAAAAAGCAGACAATGTGGCAAAGATTAATGGTAAGCCAGAGGATTGGCAAAGTCTTAAAATCCAACAAAAGACAACTGAGAAGAATAAAAAGGGAGAAGATAAACTTTGAGGTAAACATGCAAGTAATATCAGACCGACAGCAAGAGCTTCCTTAAACTTAAAAAAAAGGGAGCGAGAAAAGAAAGTGAACATAGGCCCCTTAGAGAATGAAGCTGGGGAAATAATATTGGGGAACTAAGAAATGACAGAGAACTTGAATAAATACTTTGCATCAGTCTTCACAATAGAAGATACTAACAGCATTCTAAAGTTATTAAATAAGCAAGGGGTAAAAGGTGGAGAGCAAATAAAATAACTATCGCTAGAAACAAAATTGCTTGGGAAATTAATGGGGAGAAAGACTGATCAGTCCCCTTATCTGATGGGATACATCTTAGTATATTAAAGAGTGTAGCGACAGAGATAGTGGTTGCAGTGGTAGTAATAATCTTGCAGATTTTGGAAATGTCTCAGGGGAATGGAAAACTGCCAATGTAACATCCTTAAGGGAAGAGGATGAAAACAAGTAACTGAGGGCCAATTAGCTTAACATCTGTTATTGGAAAAATATCAGGGCAATTCTAAATACATATTATGATCAAGCAGTGTCAGCGTGTCTTCATTAAAGGGAAATCAAGAGTTTATTGGACAAGTTGGTTCTGGGAGTAGAGGATTTTCTTATGAGGAGAGGATGAGTATGTTGGGCATGTAGTCACTGGAGGTTAGAAGAATGAGAGGAAACCTTATTAAACATGTAAGAATATGAGGGGTCCTAATACAGTAGATGCAGAGAAATCGTTTTAAAACAGAAATGAGGAGGTTTCTTTTTCCTCTCTCTGAAGGTAGTCAAATTGGAATTCTTTACTGAAGAGGGCTGTCACTAAGCATACTCCAGGCTCAGATATACTGATTCTTAGATCAGTGACGGAATCAAGAGACATAGGAAAAAGACAAGGAAGTAAAGATGAGGATTATAAGATTAGCAATTCCTTGGAATCAAGGAGGCTGACATGTGAACTAATTAATGTGTTTAAAGGAAAACAAAGAATAGACAGAAAGTGATTTATAAAATATCCAGAACGAAGGGACAGAATCTGGACTGGTTAAAAGGAAATCCAGGAAAAGCCTAACACAAAGGGTTGAGAGATTTGGGTCACTGTCCTGTAGAACCTCCAATTCAAAGTCAACCAAGTGTTTTAAAGGGAGATGGGTGTGTAAATGGAATTAAGGATTTTGGTGAAATAGAGGTTAAAATGATACATCTGTTATGACAAATAAAATTAGAGCAGCACATTCCCGGGGCTGATTGGACTCTTCTTGTAGCAGTTAGCAATGGACTATGACATATGGTAATAATATTATTTCTGTCATTGCTTCATTGTAGATGCATCATACAATACTTATATCTACCTTAATATTAGCATAGCTTGGGCTTCCAATATTCAATAAATGAACATTAATCCCACAAAATAAATAAAGGTGCATTCAGATACTAATTTCAACACTGCTCAAAACTTCAAATGTTCAGAAAACAGCTGGAAACTGTTTACAATATTACTACAGCCCTAAAATACAACGGCTGCTTTATAAACATTTGCAACTAGCCATCTCTATCAGCACAATGTCACAAGTTGATGTTCGTTTGGCCGTAGATCCAGGCCTATCAATAAATGTTAATGCTAAACACTAATGGCAGCAGGTGCCAAGCAAAATTCTGGGCAACACAATGCAGATTAACAGTTATTTACTCATTGCAGATTGTAGCACTAGGCTGGATGCGGAATACAATTTTTGCAATATAGAAATTTAAGCATAAAAGCTATTAAGATATTAATTAGCATTTTAACACTTGATGGCAATTGACCTCTTGGAGAAGTTGTTGACACATATGATGATTGACAGTGAAATGTATCAAGTACTTACCAAATGTATGAAGCCAGCTCCCGTTAGCCATGTGCTTATAAATATGGATAATAGATTCACCAACTTGATGGAATTGCTGTCCAAAAGAGAAAAATAAATACTGAATGGTTCTGTTTGAGAAAACATTTCAAGGTGAGTGTTTGTGCGTTTCTGTAGTGCTTGGTCACTTAAGTGGTCCTGGAATATCTGAAATATGTAACTTCAGGATCAGTTGTGAATTATCAGAAGTTAAACATTAAAACAGAAAGTACATGAAATGCAAAGCAGGTTAGTCGATCTCAGATACTGAAGTCTGTGTTCTTATGCAGCAAGACCTGGGCAACAACCAAGCTTGGACTGAAAACGGCAAGTAACATTTGTGCCACACAAGAGCCAGGCAATGACCATCTCCCACGAGACAGAATCTAACTATAGTTCTTTGATGGTTAATGATATTATCCATCACTGAATCCCCCACAATTAACATCCTGGGGGTTGCCATTGACCAGAAATTGAACTGGACCTGCCATTTTAACACTGTGGCTACAGAGGAGGTCAAAGGCTAGAATTCTGCACTGAGTAAATTCACCTCCTGTTTCCCCCAGTGCTTGAACACGGCACAAGTCAAGAATGGAACAGAATAAACTCATCCAAGCAAATGAAGTATAACTCCAATATGACTGAAGAAACTTGACACCATCTAGGAAAAAGCATCCTTCTTTTTGGCACTACACCCACTACCTTCACCACCAGCACAGAACAGCTTCAGTGTGTACCATCTAAAAAATACACTGCAGTAACTCACCAAAGCTCCTTCAACAGCACCTTCCAAACGCCCCAACCTCTAACACCTGGCAGAACAATATCAGTAGATGTATGGAAACACTACCACCTGCATGGTCCCCAAGTAACACAGCATCTTGTACAGTTACATTGCCTCTCCTTCACTCTCACTGGGTTAAATCCTGAAATTCCCTTCTTAACATCACTGGAGTGTCCATATATCTCAAAGACTACAGTGGTTCAAGAAGGCAGCTTGCTACCAGCTTCTCCAGGCCAAATAGGGATGAACAATAAGTGCTAACCTAGTCAGTGACACCCACAACTCAAAAAACGTCCTTTAAAAAAAACTAAGGGTACTTACTACTGCTCAGAGAGCTGTATCAGTAAATTCTGAGACAGTTATCTAAATTCATCTCCCACAACCTTTTCAAATGGGTAATATTGTATCACAGAGATGAGAAATAGAGAAAAACTTATTGAACAGAAAACCCATACTTGCTACCAGGAAATTAAAAAGAATATTTATCTTTATCAATAAACTTTATGTTTTAAAATTGCACAATATTCCTTACAATTACAAGGTAGTAGGAGAGTGGCACTTTACAATGTAATTTAAACATTTACTATCAGGCATTTGTAGCAAGATTAAAAATAGTTTCTGAAGTATTCTTTGAATGATAGCATTCCGCTTCTCATCTGCTGGTGAACTGAATATATAACACCCAAATATACATGCATGAACTCCCTCAGGCATGTAAACATACATAAATACAGACATAGTACTGGCATGGATATGCTGAGCTAAATGGACTTTTTATGTGCTGCATATACGTACATATAGGTAAGCACACATGTACATGGACACACACATTAGTGTATATATCTCAATAAATCAACCATCTGCTTACACTTCCTGACTAAAACCAAAAACAGGCCAACAGGAAATAAAATTTGCAGACTAGAGAGAACACAGACATAGGAATTCTAATATATCATGGGTCAAGACAAAACTATAACTTTAACGGGGAGGATTGAATTATGTTCTGATCCTATGGCCCTGCCCTTCAACTCCACTCTATCTGACGACCACACGGGGTTTCATCTCCCCATGTGCTTTACATGACATATATTCAAACAGATGTGGTTTGACAGCCTCAGCAACAACTAACAAACTATAATTTACTTAATATAATGCCAAGAATTTACCAGAAAAATATCTCCACATGCACTCCGGATTTCTTTTAAAATAAAACAGCTGACAAATTTAGCAGAAAAGAGATTAGCATATTTATTTAGGTGGGCTGGTCATAGCATCACGTCAAAGTCTCTTTTTAAGACACAGTTTGTGTGGAGCCATCATTAGAGCTCACCTTCACCATTTAAATCCTTTTTAGGATTACAAAAGCTTTTAGCCATTCAAACTATCAACATTTACATTCTGCAAGTTCATAAACATTCCTATTCAACAGCTGAAGAAAGACAATATTTGTAGATGGAGTGATCATAAAGCATTTAGTTATACTGCGGAACTTGAAATGATGAATGCAAAATTCCATACAGTACAATTTTTTATTCAGGCTAGTGAAGTACACATTCTTTAACCTATATTACAATTAGGTATACTAAAAACACTTAAGGGGTAATGTAACAATTAGAATAAATAACAATCAAACTATACTTTATAAAGTTTTTTTTAATTTCATAGCATACTAAGTGCATGACAATTCTTATCAATTCTTGTTGATGGGAGAACATGTTTAAATGGATTAGAGTCTTTTCCACTTTCAATCAGAGCAACTAAAGATGACCCCTGGATTAATCCGGAGCATGTTCAAGCTCCTCGACATCTGTGCACAGCTAGGATTTCAACAAGGTCTCAAACTGGCTTGAAAAATCCCCATTTTGCTCTTGATCAAATAATAACAATTTTAAAGACAGAGTTCATATATAGCCATCATTGGAGCTTGCCTTCACGATTTAAATCCTTTCAGGATTACAAAAGCTTTTAGTTATTCAAATTATCGACATTTACAACCCTGCACTGCACCAATATAACATCTAGCCGGGAGCAAAACAGACCATTGCGAAACTCAATATGATGTAATTTTCTTTTGCCTGCGAAGTAAATTTTTCCTCCAACCCTTTCTGCAAAATAGCAAGATGGAAATACATGCCTATCGTGGGCGCTAATTGCTTCCAACATAATCACAGACCAAGTGAATAAATTAAACAGACATTTGCTTGGTATTGACCATAGCTGCATTAAGATATTTCCATCGCAAATATAACACTTCAAAATATTATGTGCAAAGCTTGGAAATGTTAAAACACATTGCACCAATCATATTCAGGAAACACAATCTAATTACTTGCAAAACTTGAATTTTGCATCACAAACTGGGTAACACAGCTGCAACTAAGCTGAAAATTATTCAGAGAGTCACAGAGTTATACAGCATGGAAATAGACTATCCAGTCCAACTCATCCATGCCAACCAGACATTCCAATCTGACCTAGTCCCATTTGCCAACATTTGGCCCATGTCCCTCTAAACTCTTCCTATTTACATACACATCCAGGCACCTTTTAATTGTACTCACCTCTTCCACTTTCTCTGGCAGCTTGTATCATACACACACCACCCTCTGCACGAAAATGTTACCCCTCAGGACCTTTTTAAATCTTACCCCTCTCACCCTACCCGATGCCCTCTAATTTTGGACTCCCCACCCTAGGAAAAAGATCTTTGCTATGCATTGTATCCATGCCCCTCATGATTTTATAAACCTCCATGAAGTCACCCCTCAGCCTCCAACACTCCAGGGAAGAAAGCAATGTTTATGACATCGTCACATGATTTATTCCCACATACTAATTCTACTGCATCATACTCACATGCTAAAAAGCTGGCAGGGGACATATCATGATCCAGAAGGCAGTTCTCCCAGGACAAGACAACCTTCATCATCAGAAGATCTCAAGATCATCAATGGATCGTGATTGCGAGCAGAACTTGGGAGGATTGTTGGATGCGCTGAGCTGCGATTGGTGGACTTTTCTGCTTCGGCCTGACCTAATGCCGACTCAGTGACCAGCCAATCAGAGCTATGGATTATACTAGAGCCCACGCCCCAGACTAGGGGGTCCGCAATACAGTCAGGGTGACAGTAAAGAAGGTGGAGGAAGGATCGCCAGTCGACTGGACCTTCTTTGTGAGGAGAGTCTCCTGGATCGCTGCTGGTTCCAAGCAGCAGATGTTTTCTGTCTGCAGAATATCCCCAGAGGGGGCTACTTCAATGTGACCTTCAGGAGCTTGAAGCAATGTGACTGTCTCCTGAAGGTATTTGAGGAGGAAGGAGGTGAGGATCCTTTGTTCGTTCTCCCTGCACAGAGAAGCCGGGTTGTTACAATCCACATGTACATACCTGTGTCCCGGCAGATGTCCTGATCTTCCTGAAAAGGCATGTACTGCTAGAAGGAGGCAGCAGTGACTCATTGGACCCCTTTGGAATCTGGCAGCAAGCAGCAGGTCAAGGTGACCCTGAAGACAGATGCTAATGGGAACACCCTCCACCCTCGCAGTCGGAGGGATCGGAGGCTACATGGCATATGTGGGGCAGTCTAGCATGTATCGAACATGCGGGAGGACAGGACACATGGCAGTGGACTGCAAAGTGACCCTCTGCAGGAACTGCAAACAGGACGGCCACGTGACAAAGGATGCAAGCAGTCCAAGAACTACAACTTGTGTGGGGAAGCGGCCACCTCTACAAGGCCTATCCAAGACAGGGGGACGCTACATGTACTCAGATTGCATTCGACACAACCTCGAGCTGAACAAACAGAGTCAATGGAGGAAGAGGAGGATACAATGAGAACCAACTAGAAAAGGAAAACACGTTGGGCCCCCACGGTCCAACAGTAAAATGGAAAGAGGCAGCACCACCGATGAAGAAGCACGGAGGGATGGCCACCAACAAAAAAAAGTGGCACAGCACCGCTGGGGAAAAGGCGAGGAGCACCCCCCCAACCCAGAAACACCGGGTGTCACGAGGGGCCCGGTGAAGTCCAACCTCCGGTTGTCGGGAACTAAGGGATACCCACCGCACCACAGCTCTAGGCAACCAGGAGCAGCAACACTCTGAATCAGGAGCACAGCTTAACAGTGCCTCTGTCGGACTTAGAACTGGATTTTCCTGGCTTTGTTCTCACCCTGACGACACCAGATCAGGGCAATCACCCCTCCCCAGGACAGCTACCTCAGTGCAGAGAGTGTCCAATAGTTCACCCACAACACAGGGATGTAAGTACTC